AATGAGATCAAACAAACACTAGAATGAATTTATGTTAATATCAGAATTGCATTGATTTTTCTTGCGCGTAAACTTTGCCAACTAGACCGAATCAATGTATTCTGATAAGTTGATCCCATTAAGCATTTTATGCAATTAAATTGTTTTAGAATACTTGCCAGAAAATCATAATGCTATAGCATTTCTGTAACGAAAGATGGAGTGAGGGCAGAGTCATGCTTGCTTTTGATAAGCAATTAACAGATTAAGACCCTAATATATTTATGGTAGGAGATTTGACAAGCTCGTATAAATAATGAGAATCCTCCCTCCGGCTGAAACTTAACTAATTTGCCTTGAAATAAGTAATACTCTACCTATTTCTATCTCTCCACTGCAGTCGAGTAAGAATAAAACTATGCACCTTACAGTTTATCTAAGATAAAATTAGTACCTGCTTTCATTTACCGATTTATTAGATCGTTAAAAACCCTTCGTGCCGATGCCTCCGTAATACCAGTCGAACTTGAAGTATCAAGTTTTATGTCTACGTCAACATCTAAAGCTGCTACCAACTACTGTGTAGTTTAGACATTTACCACTAACTTATATCTTTAGAGAAAAATGCGCATTAGAGCTAAATTAATTTATATTAAAGAAATCCCACGCGAAATGTAAATTTTGTATATACTTTATTTGTTGAGCTTTCATGATTTCGGAAAGCCGAGATCTCTCTAAATCGCAAATCTTCTCAAGTGCCAAATAAATAATCATGTTAAATACATTGTTACTAGATTCGATTTCAAGTAGAACTTGAAGTATCGTATAAGCTTTTAAATTTGTAAAAAATACTGCAAGATTTAATATATTTTCTAACTGGTAATTGAAAGTTTTACAACTATCTAACCGAACAGAGGCTGTTTGCTATGGGGAATTATGAATGACTGTCATGCAAAGGGGGAAAGATCGCAAGGAATTCTTATGGGACAAATTTAGTCACTCAATTGCTTAAATATTAGTGTGAACCCTGAACTCCTCAACTCAGCTTATTCATTATTAAATACCTTTTTCAATCGAATGTAACGAATATGCTCTGCTACTCAGCTGAGGTGAATTTCTCTTGTTGCTTTCAGCCTGTCTATATTTCCTCAGTAATTCTCCAAGGTCGCTAATTTTCAGAAAAAATGCACTGCTCCATATCCGTCCCATGGTCTCAGTATCCAAATGGACGGACAGGAAACAAGATCCGTAATTTGGAAAAAATTTCACAAAGTCAGAGGCCGTTACCATAGGCGATTTGCTTCTCACCTCCTCTCAAACAGCCTAATTATACTTATTTAACGAACTTTCAGAGAGATCATGGGGCTAAATTATAGCTTATGCTTCGAAGTTATATATAAATGACTAGTTGCTGACTTCGCAATTATGTGTGCTTGTAAGGCGCATTAGTCCAGAAGTGTAAAGTTTGTCTAATATCAACCAGAGCCTATTAAGCTCCTCCCATTCCATTACAAGTTTGTTGAGTATGAGTGATAAGAACCATTTAACTCGCCTTAAATTAAAGATACTCTAATTGCTCTAAAGCAACTAGAAAGAAGGAAAATAAATTAGTGTAAAATGGGCTAAGCAAGGTTTTCCCAAATTTTTCTTTCGCGTGCGAGCGAAAATTTGGCTGGGTACGAACTTAGTCGTAAAAACAACAACCGTTTTTGTCAATTTTACGGCTTTCTTATGTATTCATAAGGTGATCACGCAAGATATTAGTGTGGTTATCTTATAAAATATTAATTCATGCTCTATTTCTTCACGAGTTCACCACAGTATCTAATTTATTTCGAAGTAAATTAGGTAAAGTCTCCAATATCTCTCTATTTTGGCATGAGCTTTAATTGGGGTAAGGCTACCATAAAGCCCTTTCTAATCATTTCCCATTTGGGGCTTCTCGTGAGTTAAGAGCATCTTATGCCAGAGAATATGATCTAGTTATGGTTCATCCTCAGTAAAATTCCCCTATTTAGGATGGGAATTTTCATAGTTTACATATAATTGGTCAGTTTGAATATAAATTTGTGATAGCCTACGAGCTGATGGTAAAATTAAGTTAAGATTTGATTACTTCGGTAAAATTAGTTAATAATTAAATCGCAAAAGTATGCAATTGCGTAGGGCAAACTAAGTTTCGAACTTCAAATAAACCGAGGTAACACTCCCCTAGGTTTCTAATTGAGTAATGTACAGCGAAATATATGACTAAATCAAACTATTTCGTCCCTTGCCAAAAGGCAGCTCGACCTCAATGCAAACTGCTTTTACCTTATTTACTACGTAATTTTATAGGTATCCAAACTATACTAATATTAGAGCTTGAAGGTAGTAGGCCTAAATCTTGTGAAAAAGTATGGGCACTGATACCATAAACATTAATATTCTGATATAATAATTTTTAACCTTACGAAATTTTATGATATTAAATTAATTTAACATAAACTTTAGACATTTATATTTATTTATAGATTCTCTGAAGATAATCCACCCTTTTTTAAATTCGGCTAATTTTCGAAGACTAAACTAAATCTGCAACTAATAAGAAGATATTTAGGGAGAATTTTTCCTTTAGCCCACGCAAGAGTTTTCGAAAGGCAGTAGTCAAGAGCGATCTAAATAAAGGTCATTCAATTCTTGATTTGGTTGAGATCGGTATAAATATTAGATTCCATTTGGGGAGAGAATAGGAAATATATTTAATAAATTCAGGGCATCTACTCTCCTTAATAGTAATTAGGCACATGAATATTTGTTAATCTGAATGAATTACCTCTGTTTATCATAAGGTACCAAGTATTGGAATGTACTTACCGATCATTTTAGGCACCTATTATTTCGTATATGATAACCCATTTGATTTCTATCATGTTCTTGGTCTATCGACTCTTGCAATCAAGTACTATCTTGGCCCAGTCGAATGATACTATTTTAACAGTATTTAGTGTAAGTAAGGCATAGCATAAACAGTTGTAGAGCGTATTTTCATAATCATCTGGAAAGTGTATCGTGACTAAGTACCTCATAAGATGACCTATGCTAAATATTGACTTTTTTACTAGTTCTAGTAGAGCCTACAACGTCACCATCATTGCACAAGGGAAATATGGCTAGAAATTACATCAAGGCTGTAGCTCAACTCAAAACTATACGACATTTAACGTTCCATCCTGGTAAAGTCCGTAGCAAAGACCTTATTAGTAAGACTATCCTAAATGTATAATAAATGTAAGCCAACAACCTAGGAAGACAGCTATCAATTTTCCTCCATTTCTTTCGTTAACAATACATAGCTTTCAAGCTAGCCATGGCCTAGTGACTATAGTTTTAGAAAGATTTATTGAATTGCTTAGGAAAATATTGAAACAAAAATATTCGAATTTGATGTAATTTGAAAGGATGGAGAAATATATAACATACAAATGCCTTGGAATACGGTTTAAACCTTATTTGGTCCCATCGAATATGTGGTATTCACAAATTGATTTTTACTTGGTCAAGATTGATAGAAAGGCCCTCTAGCCATAAGCAAAGCAGCTGACAATATTTCAAAATGAGGGGGACAGATAATTAGCATCACCAAATTGTTAACGTTATTTTCATTATTTCATTATGCTGTAGATTTCTCATGTTTTCTCGAGGGCTTATTTAGAAGCACAGGAATACTCTACACAATGTGCTATACACATGCCATGGACAGTATCGATACACGAGTTTATGATAATAAGTATGAATAACTTCCCAATAAAATATTTAGCGGCACGAAACCTAAGCCTTAACCAAATATAAGATGCTCCCCTCTAATCTAACTTACCAATTTCTTTCAGCAGTTCCAGTGTTTTAATAATCTGGCGTGCTTTTTGACTTTTTTTTCCATCAAAGTCATTTTGTCTATTCGTCTCTATTATTGTTCCTTTGGGAGACTTCGGGTATGTCCGGTGATCCGAGGGCCAGTCGGAGGACTGTGGTTGGTCTACTAAGAGCTGCAAGCGAGCCAAGACATCTGCATAGACGCGATGGCCACAGCCGGTTCGACCAAGGGCCGAGGAGGCCGCCATCCGTACTTTAACACTGGGATCAAGCCACATCAAGCTGGCTAGTTTGTCAATGATGGACTGAAGCAACGAAGCAACCAATCAAGAAACAATTAGTAGCCGAATAAATTAATTATTTGCTCCAAAAATATTTATAACAGATGTGTAGTTTGAACTAGGCCCAAATAAACTGGATAGGTTGAGGTCTGTTGCGAACATAATTGGCCGATAAACAAAAAATTAGTATAGATTTGCATTACAGCTCAAGATACTATCACCTTTCATCCCACTTGGACATTAGGATAACTAAAATTGGGAAATCACAAC